AGCTCAGTGGTTGAGCTCCTGTCAATGTGGAGTCTCTGCATTTGACCTTTAAAACCTTACATGAAAAGGCAACACAGCCTATGAGAAAATAGTTGTGATATTTATATTTAACAGAAGACATATACAAAATAAATCCTGCCACGTTTTTGTCTTTCAGGACCTGCTCTTGTTCTGTAGCTTACACTAGCCTAGAGTTCCTGACCTCCCAGCTTCTGGCTGGGACAACAGTCACATACTACCACATTCTAGACAAAACCCAAATTCAAGACCTCAAAAAAATGTGGACACTTCCCAAGCTATACATATGGACAATAAAGACACTGATGGACGCAATGTCATTCCTAATGAAGGAAATACAAATAAGATCATAGAGAGCCAGCATTACACTTACACATTCATCAGGACAGCAAAACACAGAGATGGACGGCACTAAGCATTGGTGACTAGAATTTCCATAAACACTTGGGAAAAGGTGGAGATTTCTATCAAATTAAGCATTCAGTCACCATATGACCTAGCAATCACACTCCCAGATATTTATCTGCAAATATCTGGATTACTTTATATATCCAAAAAATTTAATACATATTACATAATTTATGTATATATTATGAATAATTTATGTGGTATATTTAAATATTTATATGTATAAAGATCTGTACATAAATGTTCAAAGCATCTTCATTTACAATAGCCAAAAAATAAAAATAAAGCTGGGCTTAGTATACCACAGGCCTGTAGTGCCAGCTACTTGGCAGGCAGACACAGGAAACAACTGAGGCCAGGAGTTCAAAGCCAATCTGAACAGCATAATGAGACTGTTTCTCAGAAGAAAAAAAAAAAAAAGGAACCAAAGCAAAACCGAAACTACAAATCTTCCCCCTCCTTTCTGTACTTTTTTGGGATAGGGTCTCACCTAGGCCAGGTTGGTGCTGAACTCACTATGGAGATGAGTACCAATCCTCTTACCGAGATCTCTCAAGTGCTGGCATTACCGACCCAGACCAAAGGCCACATCAGAAGTTTTGTTTCGTACAGTGCTGGGGATTAAATCTAGGGCTTTATGCCAAGTAGGCGAGCACTCTACCAATTCAGCTACATCTCTGGACCTTTTTGTTTTCTCTTTATCCTTTTTGAAGTAGGATCTTGCAGCCTAAACTGGCCTTAACCTTTCAACCTCTGGCTAACTTGGTTTACAGAAATGTTCCACGGAACCCAGCGGGGCGACTGTTGTTGTTTTTTAATCTTTATTCCTTGTGTGCTTGTAGCTCAGAGGACAAGTTGCAGGAGTCAGTCCCCTCATTCCACCATGTAGGTTCGGGGAATCAATCTCTGATCCTCAGGCTTGGTGCGTTACCCACTGGGCCATCTTGCAGGCCCCCGTGGACAAGTTTTCCTTTGAGAAGTTATTTCTGGCCTGGGTGTGGTAGCTCACACTTGTCATCCCACCACTGGGGAGGCAGAGGTAGGCGGACTACCACAGGTGGATGCCAGCCTGGGGCCAGCCTGGGCTACACAGTAAGGTAGATGTCATAGACTACATGGCAAGACCCTGTTTTAAACACACTGGGTCAGCCAGGTGGTGGTGACACGCCTTTAATCCCAGCCTGGACTACAGAGCGAGTTCCAGGGCAGCCAGGGCTACACAGAGAAACCCTGTCTCCAAAAACAAAAACAACAACAACAACAAAAAAAAAAAAACACAAAAAACCCACTGGGCAGGGTGAAGCAAAGGTCAATAATTTCATTAAGTACCTTTCTGTTCTATTTAACTTAAAAACCACATGCAGGTTATTACTTTATTGTTCTTAATTTAAAATGTATCATAAATAGACAAAGGGAAATTTTTCTTTGGAACATATCATAACACGTACACTTAAAAGTACTTTAAATTGGGGCTGGAAAGGTGGCTCGGGGTTAGAGCACTGGCTACTCTTCCCAGAGGCTCTGAGTTCAATTGCTAGCACTCAAATGGTGTCCCACAGCTGTCTATAATAAAGGAATCTGATGCCCTTCGGTATGCATCTGCATTCATGTAGACAAAAGAGCCATATATATAAAATACATAAATAAACCTTCCCTAAAAATACATTAAAATTTTCAAGTAACATTACTAATAAAAAAATTCACAAAGCAATCAAATAAGGCAACAGGCAGTTTATACTTCTTTCCATTTTAACACCTTTGATTGTAAAATGTGACATTGATTAAAAAAAAATAACTGACATTGGAAATCATAAAAATACTAATTTCCTTGCTTTTTCCTCCTATATCTGAATTATGTGAAGATAGACACGATGGGCTGGCCAGAGGTATAGTTTAGCAGTAGAGTGCTTGCCTAGCTTACGTGTCTGAGGTCTTGGGTTTGATCTCCACCCCTAGGGATAGCAAGTAAATAAGTCTTGTACTTATCCTACTTATCACCATAGTTCCAAGCATAAGCTCATTTTATGGTAACTTCTCCCCCCAATGCCTCCACTTTCTGCTATTTGCTTAGCCAGTGGGGCCTGATGCTTTTGTGCTAAAATGACACTTCTGTCAGGTAACCAGGGATCTCCATACTCCATCACCATAAACACATATTAAAACACTATGGAGCCTGGCATGGTGGCACTTCGGGAGGCTGAGCTTGTGTTCTCTGTAAGTTCGAGGTCAGCCTGGTCAACAAAGCCAGTTCCAGAACAACCGGGATGGTCTTTAAAAGCAAACAAACAAAAAACATTTTTACCTACGATCAAAACCTAAAAAAAAAAAAAAAAAAAAAAAAGAAAAAAGAAAAAAGAAAAAAAAATCCCACAACTTTATAAGCAAAGTCTAAGAAGTAATATTTCACCCAATGTCTGAAACAGCTTTCTTTCTAAAATGTTTATATTTAAGAGAAACTTAGCAAATTATTTAAATAACCCTATGAACATTCTTTATAAGAGTAAAGAATCATTTGTAATTTGTCTTAAGGGTACAAGGTGGTAGCCATGTTAGTCAGGACAATTCAAAAATCATATCCCAAGCTTCAACATTAATACAACCCTAGTGTATACAAATATCCCTTTGATTCTGACAACTGTTTTTCCTCCTCCTTCTTTTCTTCCAAGCTGCTTCTTTCCTCCCTTCCACCTCTGTCCCTCTCTCTTTCCACTGTTTCATTCTGTAGAGACAGGCCTCACAGTCTCTACAACTTAGTGTAGGAAACACAAAGTAACTCACAGCAGTCAAATAATAAATGCACATTTACATCTGTGATGTTGACTAGCTGCATTAGCAGGCGCTAAACACTAACTTCAGAAACCCAATCCTCCAACTAGTCCTGTGCAATGGGTACTCAGTATCACCCTCATTTTACAGACAAAGGAAGAGTTCAGAATGTTGCCCAAAGTCATACGAACTATAATAAGGGAACAAAAACTCAAAATAAATGGATTCAGTCTAGTTACTTTGCCAACCAACAACTGAGCTGAACTGGAACATTCTGTTAACAAAAGAAATAGAAACAAACAATGATCAATGGCCTCCAGGGAAAGATATTTTAAAAGAGAAAAACAGAAAGACAAGGCCCGGCAAGGGGACCGTATGCAGGGACTGTGGGGGGACAGCGTGTGTTGAGTAGATCTGACTAGTTCAGACAACAAATGATTGTTGCAGTGTGGATGGAAAGTAGATGACTCAGAGATCTGCGTGGAGTTAAAATATACTTCAGTTGTTGACAGGACTAGGCACCCAGTCAGGCAAAATGTAGGGAGGATTCCTTAGCTTCTAACTAGCATAAATTAAGGAATAATGGTGTAATTCATTGAGACAGAGACATCCAGAAATTCAAACTGAGGGCCAGCAAGATGGCTCTGTGGGCAAAGAGGCCTGCTGTGCAAGCCTGGATACCTGAGTTCAATCCCCAGAATCCACAGAGAAGTGTCGAGAGAACTAACAACTTCACGAAGTTGTCCTCTGCATTCCAAGGCATATGCGCCATCCCCACATCAAGCATATGCACTCGTGTATGTACACACATATACACATGTAATTCTTTTTAAAAGTCAGACTTAAGGACATCATGTATTTGCTCTGAGATGTTCAATTTAAGATGACTTTGAGAATAGAGGGCAGAGAGAATCCTTTAGATCGAAGGTAGCTCAGCAGGAAGAAATTAATGAGCAATTGACATGCAGAGGAGGGCTAGTGTACAGAGGGCCTTGAGTCAACAAAAACTTACAGAGGGGCTTGCAAATAAGACAAGGAAGAGCAGCCAACGCAAGTCACTGGAACCCTAGCAAGAGAGTAGTGTTAGCAGAAAGAAGCAGTGGCCAACAAGCCCAAACAATGTCAGCTGAAAACTGAAAAACGTCTTCCGACTTGGCTACCTGGGAGACCACTGGCGACTTCAGCCAACGTTTTCTCCCGTGGCCAGAGAAAAGTCTAATAGGAGTAAAGAGTCAAGAGGAGGCAAAGAAATCAATCAATCAGCCGAAAACAACTCTAGAAAAGTTTGGAGGTGATGGGGAAAGGGAGAAAAGAGAGGCCGCAGAAGGTAAATAGGAGCATGTTTATTCATCTTGTTTTCTTAGGGAGAAGAAATGCGAGCTTGTATACGGGGACCAGGATGCCTCGTGGGGAGGGGGATGACCACTGAGACCCCGGGAGCCTTTCCCGGCTCCCACGCAATCTCCTCCCCGACGGTCTCCCGTTCAACAGCGGCTCCCTCCCCCCGACTGCTTTGCACCGCTCCAGGCCGGTGCTGCCAGAGCCATCGGCCCCGCTCAGGGTCGTCTCCTTACCGCAATGGCCCCCTCGCTCAGGTGTCCCACCATGGCTGCACCGCTAACTCCCGCGCTCGCGCTCCAGCACCGCCCGAGCTTCCCTGCCGGGGTCCCGCGGGCTGCTCACCGATTGGCCAGAGCATCTGTGCGTGCCGCCCCCGCCCCCGGCGTGCGCGCGGTGCGAGGGGCGGGCCTAGGCGCCGGCCGCCGCCGGATTGGCTACCGCGCGGCGGGCGGAGCACGTGACCCACCCGAGGCCGGGTTCGAGGCCTAGTGGCGGGATGGCGGGGGACTGAGGGCGGGGCGCCGGACTACTGTACGTCCGTGTCTGCGCGGTGCCGCTGAGTCGGTCACTTGCCAGCTGTCGGAAGTTTGCCGGCCCGTTTGGCGGATGGACACAGCATGGCAGCCCAGGGGGCTATCGGAGCTGTTCCCTGGTAACTCTGCTGCTAAATATAGTCAAAGCAGTGACCCGAGTCCTTCACCCATCCACGCCGTGCGTGCCCGGCGCCCGTGCCAGGCCTCTGGCTTGACACTGTGGGATAAACCAGGTAAATCAGACTCAGTCCCCGCCCTCAGAAGAGCGTAGTCCGACCTAGGCGTTGTGGCAGCGTCGAGCCCGGACTCAAGGGAGACGCGATTGGGCCACACGTGTGGTGAAGTCCCGGGGGGTGGAGTGGGGGGGAATCAGTGAGGCTTTGGAGAGGAGATGCCGTTTAAACTGAGTCAAATATGTGTGGGAATTTGTCAGGTGGGTTCCGAGTGAGGGTAGTGGTGTTCCTAAAAGCACGAACGGCCCTCGCCAAAGTTCTGGAGAACCTACCATCTTGTCTGCTGTAATCCCAGCCCTTGGGATGTGGAGGCAGCAAAAGGTCAAGGTCATCCGTAACAACACCGTAAATTCGAGGTCAGCCTAGACTACACGAGACCCTCAAAAATAAAAATTTGGGGGCCTGCCGTGGTGGTGCTCAGGAGTTAGAAGCAGACAGATTTCTGTGAGTTCGAAGCCAGCCAAGGCTACATAGGAAGAAGACCAGGTCTCAAAAAGAAAAAAAAACAAAAACAAAACAACAACAAAAACCCGAGTCTTTGAACTGAAAGAAAGATCTGGAGATTGAAACAGAAAACTGAACCATCTTAGAAATTAAAATTTTCATTTCATAGTTGTTGGGGCGAAGGCCTTGGACAACTAGAGTAAACAGAGGTCTAGAAGGACTGGAATATGAATCAAATACTATACTTATATAACCACTATCTACCATAGTTCCTTGAACAGTCTTCCAAAGAATATTCTGAGTGACAGAATGTCCAGTGATTTGGTCCCACCCATTATATCTCCTTCCGCATATCAACAACTATAGAAAAAGACCCAAGAAATTGATTTGGTTGCTTCTCACTTGCTATATGAAATCTCGATTTTCTAGAATTGGGCATTTGTAGAAAGGTGAATCCTTATTCTCTACTTTTCAGAGCTAAGGTGGCATGGATCTGCCTGTGGATGAATGGAAATCCTACCTTCTTGACAAGTGGGCTTTACTCCCGAAGGCTGTGCAGGACACAATTTCTACAGCAGAGACGTTGAGCGACATCTTTCGTCACGCCTCCTCCCTCCTTCAGTAAGTGAATGGAAACACTAGGGAAATTTTGATCTGGAAACCCTTCTCTCTTGCCATTTGATCTGAAGTTACATCTTTTTCTGCTGGAAAGAGTAGCTTTATGTTTTTATATTAGGGGACATTAAGCAGTTCTTATCTGTTTTCACATTTCTTCCTAGTCTGTGATTATAGAATGTGTAGGGATAACTATTTTCCTTTTTTGGTATGTGTTATAGTTCAGTAATTTAGTGTCTTGTTGTAGTCCTGAGGCCGTAAACCTTCCTGTCACTCAAAGGATATATGGTGCAGATTGTGTAGCTGCCCAAAGAAATTCGTTAAATGCTACAGATGGGAAAGAACCCTAGAAATTATATAGTCTAGCCCCAGTAACTTTCAAATTCTATGGACTATATTCATTGGTAAGCTAGACATTTTATATCACAAACTAGTAAACATATGCATATATAGAAAACAGTGGAAACCCAAGTTTCATTTATTCAATGAATATTATTTTTAATTTTCTGAAATTAAAATATAATTACATCATTTCCTCCCTCCAACCTTCTCATATACCCATCCCCACCTTGCTCTTGCCCTCTCTCAAATTCATGGCCTCTTTTATTTTTAAGTTGTAGTTGTGTTTGTGTGTTTCTAAATATATAAATACAATCTAGCCGGGCGGTGGTGGCGCACACCTTTAATCCCAGCACTCGGGAGGCAGAGGCAGGTGGATCTCTGTGAGTTCGAGGTCAGCCTGGGCTACAGAGCGAGTTCCAGGACAGGCTCCAAAGCTACACAGAGAAACCCTGTCTCGAAAAACCAAATAAATAAATAAATAAATACAATCTATGCCGTCCATATGATGTTACTTGTATGTGTATGATTGCAGGACAGACCACTTGTATTAGATAACCAACTGGGACTTGGTTTCCCTGGAGAAGACTATTTCTCCCACTCTGAACATTCTTTAGTTTCTTGTAGTTCTTTGTCTGACATTGGACCCCTGTGAGAACTTTTTCCCCCAGGTTAACCTTTATATTAGCGTCATCCTTATCCAGGTCTTGTTTAGGCAGCCATGTTGTTGAGACTTCATAGCTTCCCAACATTTCTGGGAGATGCGATCTCACAGCAGACTTTCTGGCTCTTAAAATCTTTCCACCCATTTTCCTCCTGCTCCCTGAGCCTGAACTGCAAAAGCTGTGCTGTCAATGTATCAGTTGGTGCTGAGCTCCACGTGATCACTTGTTCAGTAACTATTATTGATTGCTCAGTGGCAATCAGTAATATTAATCCCTGCACTCTGGAGGCAGAGGCAGGTAGACTGGTCTATGTAGAGAGTTCCAGGCCAGAAAGGGCAATATAGTGAGACTCTGTCTCAAAAACAAAAAATAAAGGGGGACGAGGTTGTTTCAGCAGAACATGTAATAAAAATTGGAACAAAAAAAGTCAAATGACAGAGATCACCAGGAAAGGATGTGAATGTGCGTGCACCGAGTAGGTTCGAGCACCAGCAAGAAAGCTAGTCTGATCACAGCAGAATGAGCTGAGAGCGGAGGGAAAATTGGTAATAGGGCACAGTGAGTACCCGGAAACACGCCTGGCACAAACCACGCCACTAGGAAGTAATGACCTCAGGTAATCACAGGAGCTGACTTCTGCCAGCAACCCAGTGAGCCTGGGAAGGCTCTTCCCCGACCCTCCGAAGAGGATTCTCACCTTGTAAGGACCTGAGCAGAGAGGCAGCCTGCATAGGCTTCTGACCCCTGTGAAGGTAATAAATGGCTGTTGTTTTGAGCTGCTCAGCTGGGGAGTCTGTTGAAGAGCAAACTAGTTGGCGGAGGCTTGAGAGGAGAGTGATGTGAGCTGACTGTGTCTTCAAGCAGAGATGAGCAAACTAAGCCTGCAAGATAAAGTTATTACAATTGTATATTTTCCTTTTAGGACCACAGCTAAGGATGGTTTTGCCAGATAGACATTTGTAGTTGATTTTAGGATAAGGAGTATTGGCCTTGAACCCTAATTAAACAAAATGACATGGTTTTTTGTTTGTTTGTTTGGTTGGTTGGTTTTGGTTTTTCCAGACGGGGTTTCTCTGTGTAATTTTGGTTCCTGTCCTGGATCTCACTTTATAGACCAGGCCGGCCTCGAACTCACAGATCCGCCTGGCTGAGCCTCCAGAGTGCTGGGATTAAAGACGTGTGCCACCGCCGCCCGGCTTGTTTTGTTTTAAGGCCAGTGAGATGGCTAAGCAAGTAAAGCTTGCTTCCTAGGACGTAAGCCTGCCTGACTACCTAATATGCAAGCTTGGTGACCTGAGTTCAATCCCTATAACCACATAAAGGTGGAAGGAGAGATCCAGCTCTGCAGGGCTGTCCTCTCACCTCCACACATATGCTGTGGAATATGAATGCACACACATACACTAATAATAATAAAATTAATTAATTAATTAGAAAAGAAATAATCCCATTGTTGTCATTAGTAGCCTTATATTATAAAAATTATACTCTACTATTATATTTTTAATTTTGTCAAAAGATTTTAGAAATCTGCTTGCTATATGAGTAACTAATAGATTAAAATTTTCTTCTAGGTTTGCAAAGTCTAAATACTCTAGCCTTCTACATAAAAAGTTGGCTGAGCCCTGATTTTTCTAATGATTTTCTATTGAAATTTCTTTTACTTTTGTGTATGTGTGTGGCATATACACGCACATGCCACAGTTTACAGGTGGAGGTCAGAGGGCAACTCTGGGGAGTCGGTTCTCTCCTTCCACCACTCAGGTTCAGGGATTGAACTCAGATCATCAAACTTGGCAGGAAGTGATTTAGGTCTGAACAGTCTCACTGGTCCTGAGCCCTGTTGTAAAGACTCACTCTGTCTGCTGTGTTAAGGCCAGGCAGCAGAAGGAGCCAGAGTAGAAGCAGAGACGCCTGAAAGGCCATCGGAGTAACCCCGATGAGAAGATGGACGTAGGCCAGGATGACTGTAATTAGGGTAGGAAGATGCATTTGGATTCTGAGGTAGAGTTAATAACAGTTCTTGACATGAGATGTGTTGTGGAGTAGAATGTGAGAAGTACAGATGGCCCCAGAGAGAAGGATGGCTTTGCCACATCTGGGAACCACAGACAGGGAAAGAAGACCCACACTTCATATTTGAGTTGCATGTGTCCAGTAGATACCCAATGGCGATGCCTAAACACGTTTGGAATTTAAGAGAGGGCCTGGGATAGAGATACAAGGCTGGGAGAGCTCTGTGGCATTTAGAGCCGTCAAACTGGCTAAGTCTCCAAGCAAGCATGTGTGGATGCTCACTGCACGTGCTGTACTGTGACAGTTTGCCTTCTGTTTACCTCGTTTTGAAATGCTAATCAGAGCCCACTAAATTCATTTCATGACCCATTGAATCATGACCTGCAATTTGAAAAAAACTGAAAAATATCTAACGCAGTCTACAGGAGCTGTGGATTCCCTTTACAGAATTTCAAAAATGGTAGGGGACTGATGAAAGTATGGATCATAGGCAGAATTTTGCCTAGATAAATCAGTCTGGTTTACTAACAGAACAGTGTAGTAAACAGCAAGAATCATTTGAATATTTGATGCATTGGCAGGAATATAAATTAAAGAGGGGGGTTTGTCTGATTGTTTAATACAGGAGTTCCTCAAGACTAGCCTAGGCTCCCTTCCCTTTTGTATTCTCAACTGAGGTCGTTGTATTCAGACCAGTGACATCAGTCTTCTCTTAAATGTCCTCAAAATATATCGCAAGCCCTGACCTCTTTTCTGAGACTCAAATCTATAAATCTAGCTAACTTCTTGAAAATCTCAAAGATACTTAAGAATTCAGCATATCCAGAAACAAACACATGATTTTTACCATTAAAATCAAATTCCCAGCCGGGCAGCAGTGGCACACAGCACTCGGGAGGCAGAGGCAGGCGGATCTCTGTGAGTTTGAGGCCAGCCTGGTCTATAGAGCGAGATCCAGGACAGGCCCCAAAGTTACACAGAGAAACCCTGTCTCGGAAAAAAAAAAAAATCAAATTCCCTTCCAGTGGTCCCTATCCTAGTGAATTACAACAGCCTTAGGTTCAGTTCCTAACATGGAAATTTTAGGGCCTGTTCTAGTTTCCTTTCTGTTGCCGTGATAAAATATCCTGGCATAAAGCAACTTGGAAGAGGAAAAGGTTTATTTGCCTTGCAGTTCTGGGATATGGTCCATGATTTCTGGGAAGTCAAGGCGGAGAGTAAAAGCATCACATCCACTGTCAAGAAAAGAGAAAAAGTGAGCACCTGGATCCTGGCTTGCTTGCCTGTTTCTTCTCTCTTATACTGCTTGAGACCTCCTGCTCAGGGAATGGTACTGCTCACAGTGGGCTGGGTCTTCCACATCAATTAACAATCAGGATAATCCCTTATCAACATGCCCTTAGCCCACCCCAGCATAGACAGTCCCTTCATTGAGACTCTTCCCGGATGATTCTTGGTGATTTTGGTGATGTAAGTTGATGATTAAAGCTAACCATCACAGAGCTATTCTGTACTAAAAAACCAAGTTTGTAAGCTAGGCCTGGTAACACATGTCTATAATGCTAGCATGAAGGAGGATCACAAGTTCAAGGTCATTTACAAAGCCAAGTTTGAGACCACCATAGACTACATGAGACTTTGCCTTCATAAATAAGAAAGAACTACCACCAAGTGAGTTCCAGGAAAGGCGCAAAGCTACACAGAGAAACCCTGTCTCGAAAAACCAAAAAAAAAAAAAAAAGAAAGAACAAACTAACTCATGATATCTCCCCCCCCCCCAGTCTACATCAGATCATCTTGTAGAGTCTCTTATTGAACTGTACCAACATCTGTCCAGTTACAATCCAGAAACTGGCTGATTACTTTCCTTCTCCATTACACTCCACATTAAATCTATTCTCAGATCTTGTGTTTGCAGTATGTATTGGCAAATTTCTTCACATTTGGCAAATAGGACTTCTGCTTCCAGGTGGGATATGCTAGGTC